AGGCTCCTTCTGTCAACACTCACTCACCTGGGTACTTCCGGTTTAGGAATTTGACTTCTAGGGACCATGGTTCTTCTCCTTGCTCCAACTTGAGGATAACCTTGGGTTTGGTAATGCAACACCCTGTAATGAAATAATTGAGGGTATGAATGGACCAGATCCATGAGCACTTGGATGGAAAAAGACACAGCTATAAAAGCATTAACTGGGAATATTCATCTGATGTTTTCGAAGGGAAGATAATGACAAAAACTGTTTTTGTTTCTGTAGAGGCTTCAATTACATTAGACTTTTTAGTCCAAAGTCTATGAAGCCTTTAATCTCTATAAAGAATCTATGTGTCTTGGTAATTTTAAAAAAAGCAAACATGCTGCAGAAGGGGTCCCACGGCAGGTCTGCTCACCCACTGCGACGAGGTGGCCATAGTTCTCCAGCGTCACGTCCCTGTACAGGCTCCTCTCCCAGGGGCCCATCTGCTGCCACTCCTCCCGGGTGAGCTCCACGGTCACGTCCTCAAACGACACGGATCCCTTCAGCAACATATTTTGTTCAAGGTCTCAGAATTAGGTGACACAGAAAATACCTGAGAACTTTTCCTGTTTACTCTTGAGGTTCAAAAACAGTTGGTTATAGAGGCTTACTTTGGACCAAATTTCACTTAAAACTTGTCACTCAGCTAGTTTAAAAGGTTTCTAATTTACCACACTGCATCTATATACATTTATGAATTCCAGATGTTTTTAAGACAGAAAAATTCAATGTAATTAAACCTTCTACAACTCTTCTTGCACATTCCTGGGATGATTGTATTCTCTAGGAAATTCACACCCTCCTTGAACATCATCCCTGTAAATACTGGGAGCCAAGGAAGAAATACATGTGGGCACTAGAGAGATACCTAACCAAACTTAATGTATAAGTAAATATATGAAAATAGAGAAATCTAGAGCTCATGAAGAACAGGGAACAGCTTACAAAGAAGTTGGAACCAATGAGACCATACTAAGAAAACACTATGTACACTGAAGTAACAGCAATTGACATAAGAATAGGATATAATCACAGAGCAGAAGCAGGAACCATCTGATGATTATTGCTTGAGGTAGCAACCTAGTCTAGCTGTGTGAGAAGCCTCTCTGTTTTTTTGTTTTATTTTGTTTTTAATTGACAGAAAGACAAATCTTTCAAATAAGATCTCTCTTATGCATGGAATCTAAGACAGTGAAATGTATAGAGGTAAAGAAAGAATAGAATGGCGGTTACCCGAGTCTGGGGGAGAGGGGGAGAGGAACAGGAGATGTTGGTCAAAGGAAACAAAGTTTCCATCAGACAAGAGGAACAAGTTTTCGAGATACTGCACAGCATGATGACTCGTTAATAATAATATAATGTATGTTTCAAAACAATCAGCTTCTTGATGGTGTCAAAAACTGACAATTGAGAAACAAAAGGAAAAAGGGTGAGACGTTTGAGTGAGAGATCTGTTCAGGTTGCTACAATGAGGTGTGTGAGACATAAAGCTGGAACTGCCCTTTAAACCAATATACACGATGTCAGAGCACAGAAGGCAAGTCTAGGATGAAGACAAACACTTAGGAGTCATTAGCACTCTAGCTGGTAACTGAAGTTATTAGAGACAATCAGACAGCTCCTTGAGCACATTGGAATTAAGGAAAAAGTACCAAAACAAAAACACTTGAGGACGACATATATTAAAGAGGCTGGCAGAAGATGTACAGGCAAGAAGTCAGAGAAGAAGGTTTCTGAAAAATAGTCATAGAATCCAGAGAGGGTAAAGTCTTAGAAACTAAGAAAAGGGAAAGTTTCTATAACAAAAGACTTCAAGCTAACAAGTGATGTCAGCAAAAATACTGAAGTTGAGAAAATTCTCTCTTCCACAAAAGTAATGAGAAACTGGCAGCAATTACAGAATCAACTTTTTCTGCAAGCTAATCAAATGTTTCAAGCAATCTATACAAGAAATATTTATACAAAAAAATTTTATACATTATGCCTTTAATCGCAGAGGACTGCCTGAGCCCAGGGGTTTGAGAACAGCCTGGGCAACTTGGCAAAAGCTCGTCTCACAATAAACCAAAAAATTAGCTGGGCGTGGTGCCACACACCTGTAGTTTCAGCTACTAGGAAGGCTAAGACGGAAGGATCGCCTGAGCCCAGCAGGTTGAGGCTGTAGTAGCCATATCACTCCAGCATGGATGATACAGTGAGACTTCAACTGAAAAAAAAATTTGAAAATGTTTAAAAAAAGGCTGCAACACTGGGAGAACCCTAGTTCCGCATCATCTTAACTTGTCCTATTTTCATCCATCTCTCTCCAGTTCCACATTAGCTTTGAGAACCAATCACCTGAGATAAGAGCAAAAACCAGCAGCCTGGCAACCACTGGAGGAGGCAGAAGTGGGTTAGAGTTGTCGAAGACCTGTTCCCAGAAAACTGTCATTATTTGACTCAATATGATGGTTCCCTTGAAGACCTCACTTGCAAGGCTGATTACTGAACTAACTTAAGAGTTTTCACCCAGGATGAAAAGCCTGTGCTCCAAGGCATTAGTCAAAAACATTCAAAGGGCAATTTTAACTTACCTGTTACCAGGGTGGATAAACAGTTGGGGTAAGTAATCACCTAATAAAAAGCTTTATTTAAAGGACCAGCTGGAGGATGAAATGTCCATAAAGGCTTTGAAAAACTCTAATATATTCCTGACAATTTAGAAGCCCACCTATATGCACTGAGCTGAGAATATGCCCAGGACTGTGATATGCTCAGGAAGGACAAGAGAAGGCTCTAAGCTGTCACTTCTGAGTGACCTTAAGATTTGGAGAAAGCAGGAAGTGAAGACTAATACAGAGTTGTAAATGGCCTGGATGACTGCTGGAGAAATGCCACAGCATTCACAAGGCCCCCTGGAAAAGACTGGGACACTTGCTTGGTTTCAGGCATTTAAGGAAATTTCTGCAGAGACTTCAGCTGACACACACAACAAATACAGGCACTACTGAATTAATTTTAAAAAGTCACTGGACAGGCCAGGCACAGTGGCTCATGCCTATAATCCTAGCACTTTGGGAGGTGGAGGCAAGAGGATTGCTGGAGCCCAGGGGTTCGAGATCAGCCTGGACAACATAGCAAGATCTTGTTTCTACAATAAATAAAAAAATAAGCCGGGCATGGTGGCATGTACCTGTGGTTCCAGCTACTTGGAAGGCTGCAGTTGAAGGATTGCCTGAGCCCAGCAGATGCAGACTGAGGTGGGAGTGAACATGCCACCTCACTCCAGCCTGGGTGACAGAATGAGACTCCAACTCAAAAAAAAAAAGTCACTGGACAAATTTCAACAACAACCCCTGGGAGGAGAGAAATTCTTCTAGAGTTGCCATATTTTATTAAAGTGTCCTGTTTTCAACAAAAATAATTATAAAACAAGGCTGGGCGCAGTGGCTCAGCCTGTAGTCCCAGCACTTTGGGAGACCGAGGCGAGAGACTGGCTGAGTCCAGGGATTGGAGACCAGCCCAGGCAACTTGGCGAGACCTCGTCTCTACAATAAATCACAAAACCAGGCTGGTGTGCTGGTGTGCATCTGTAGTTACAGCTACTTGGAAGGCTAAAGCGGAAGGACTGCTTGAGCTCAGCAGGTTGAGGCTGCAGTGGCCATGAGCATGCTACTTCACTACAGTCTGGGTGGCAAAGAGTTAGATTCCAACTTAAAAAAAAAAATTAGAAAACAAGAAAAAAAAAAGTAACACCCATATGCAGGACAAAAGTAATCAAGAGAAATTGCTCCTGAGGAAGCAGATATTGGACTTAACTAGACAATGACTTTAAATCGGTTATTTTAAATATGGTTAAAGACCTAAAGGAAATGATATCTAAGGACTTAAGGGAAGTATGTCACCAAATAAAGAACATAAAGAGGCAGAAATTATAAAAAGGGACCAAACAGAAACTCTAAAATTAAAGAGTATAATAACTAAAATGAACATTTCACCAAAAAAGTCCATTCAACAGTGGAGTTGAGTACGTGGAAAAAAGAGTGAAGCACTTAGATAACACGTCCATTGAGACTATGCAGTGAGAAACAGAAAGAAAAAGGTAATAACAAAAAAATGAACCATAGGACAACATCATGCTTACCAATATAAGCATAATAAGAGTACAGGATAGAGAAGGGAGACGGAAAGGGTCTAACAATTTTTGAAGTAACAGTGGCAAGAGGTTCCAAAATTTGAAGGATATGATTAATCTACACACCCCAAAAACTCAACTACAAGTAAGATAATCTTGGAGAAAGACATCCACACCTGGATACATGATAATCAAAGTTTTAAAACAGCCAAAGACAGAGATAATCTTGAAAGCAGCAAGGGAGAAGCAACCTATCACATTCAAAGTTGATTTCAAATGAGAAACCATGAAGAACAGAAGGCAATGAGATGACATATTCAAAGTCAGCAGGACAGGAAGAGATAATGAGTTCATGGAGACGGCAGCAGGGGAAGGACAGGCCTGTGGAAAGTATCACTCACAGAGAAACATTCCAGGATAGAGTGAGAAGCAGAGGCAAGTGATGAAGAAATGTCAAGTAAGGAAAGGATAAGACAATGCCCACCGGATCTGATTACAATCCAGCAGGGTCACTGGAAGCCACAGGCAAGTGGGAAGAAAAACCAAGGCATCACACAGACATTTGAAGCTGAATGCCAAGTGTGGAGACATCTGAAAAAGAACAGAATTTTAAATCATCTGCTAAACAACCTGAATATCATGGATACTCAGAATATTTATGGAGTGTGATTTTTAAAGACATTCAGTTGATTCATCGCAAAAATGTCTAATTTAACCCCGTGTTTGAATTCTTGAGAAGTGAGTGAGTGAGTAACGAGTGAGTTAGTGCTCAACATGACATTTTCTACTTCTACCGAGGAAAAAGTAAAGAAAACATTCTATGCTATGTAATGAGTTATTACTAAATCACCTACTTGTAGAACAACAATTACATCAGGTTATCTTCATCTTTATATTTCATGAGGAATCAGTTTGCTTTATCTTTCTCATCAATGTAATCCATTATGTAATGTCCGACCCTCTGTCAAGGTAATTAAAAACCTCAGAAATAAATGTGGAGCTCAATCTGGTAAATGTGTACCAGCAGAGGACCTGCATCTCTCTACCCACATGCCGCCTTTGCTCTGCTAGTCTTCTGTACTTCTCTATCTTCTGTGAATGTGTCTGACCCATTTCTGTCTCTACTTTTTCATGGTAAAGTACAAATACATAAACCCTTACAAAATCCTTAAAAAGCCCTTATAAAAGTTTGTAAAACAAACTGATTATTAAGAACCAAACTCACCTGAGCCATGTTCGTTTTCTGCTGCTCCTCGAAGAGAGTAGAGGCCTTTGAAGGTTCCCCTGCAGAGGAGGAAAGAACAAGAGGGTCATGAGAGACCTGGTCTGCCTTAGCGTTCCTTTCGAGAGAGCTCTCAATTAGGACAATTACAATGGTTTTACTGGCACATAATCCCATCATGATCGAGACGTGTCTGCGTTTGCCTGCCTAAAATTCTCATCACACCCAACTGGAGAAAAGGTTTCCCAATGGGGAATGACACTTTGACTCTTGAAAAGGGACAGAAGGACCACACAAAGGCAGCAGCACTTGAACGCACTCATCTCTGATATTAAGTCCATTTAACCCTGCATTTTTCACTGGGTGTGGGAAAAACTGTATTTTGTTAATTTACCAACAATTTATGTTCCTTGTGACTACCTGATAAAATTGTAAAAATAATACAACAGAAGAGTAACTTAACATGTTCAGGTACACAGAGGTGAAACCCTCTATCCTCATTCAACCTAATATCCCCCCAAAAACCAACTCAGGCGGGATTAGTAAGCAAATTCTTACTGTCTTTACACCCTGAGTTAGAGCTTCCACAGAAAACTCTAAAATAAAGATGAAATGTTTTATACAAGGAATATGTTTTTCAACTTTTTGCTCAATAATGGTTGCTGATTCTTAAAAAAGACCTTTTGATAAGATGCTTATGACACCCACCTGTGTGTGAACAGCACCGTGCTTAGTTCCTGGGCCTGCCCTCGGTGACTATCACAAGTCATTAATTTCAGGCCCCATAAGAGGAGGAACCTCAAAAGCCCCAAAATTTATTTAAAAAATTGTGTACTTATTCTTACATGTTCAAACTTCAGTCATCCTCAAAGCACTCTTCGTTTGATGCAAGAAACTTATCGAGACACTTTTCTCACTGCTCAAAACACTTTTTGCTCAAAACAGTTTCTAGACTCGTCAATTCTGGTGCCTTTTAGTGCTTCTGCTGTTTTTTGTTTCACCTCTTCCACACCCACAAGATGTTTCCCTTTGAAGACTTTTCCCCAGAGAAACAGAAAAAAGTCGCTCTGGGTGAGATCAGGTGAATAGGGAGGGTGGGGTACGGGAGTCATGTCATTTTTGGTCAAACACTGATGAACACTCAGGGCGGGGTGGGCACGTGCACTCATAAGCCACCATCATGAAACGGGCAAATGTGTTGAGTGTCCAAAAAAAAAAAAATTATAATAACTGAAGCCGAACACAGCCTCTCACAACAATGCTAGCTGGTACACTGATGCTGGTGGGTTCCTAGAACACTTACCTAGTGGGAAAAGCCTGTACTACAAGGGGTCTGCCCTCCAAAAGAGAACTGATTTTTTTTGGGGGGTCCCCCTCATATTTGGGGGTTTCCAGAATAGAAAACTCTCTCCCTCTGGTATCATTTTGTTATTATCTATGTTCAAGAAAGAAAGTCAGTATAACTCTAAAGGCCACATGTAGTAATGAACGTGGTGTGACAGCTACTCAAAGTACAGAAAAAGTAATGGGAAAATGAAGGAAATGGGTGTCGTTTAAGATTTTGTCAGTTCACTCCATCTTCTCTGGATACCATGGCCTCACCAGCCCTCTCGGAAAGCACCTTTTTCTCTTCAGCTTGACAACCCTCTCAACCCCAGGTCACCACCTCCTGCAAGTTAGTTCACATGATCCCTGGCGACACAGTCTGTAACAGCTCCTGAATGTGGTAACATTCTAAGTCTACTCATGCTACACAGGGAACCAAGAACTGCTTCAGGTGAAGCAAATCAGAACCTGCCCCTTTCTAGAATCTTCTGCCTTGCCCTGAAGCTCTGGAACAGGTCTCTGTCAAACAGGCGTTCTCAGTGGCAGGACCTGGCATGGACTCCCTCTTACCAGCCTCTTGTCACAGTTGCTTTCTTTCAGAAGGGCTGGGACTTGGGCCTGAAAAACAAATTCACTTTACCGGCAACTTTCATCTAGCACCCTAAGCCTGACTCTTTTGGAATTCACCAGAAACGTGCTATCCAATACCGTAGCCATCAGCTGCATGCAACCACTGGACAACACCTTGAGTGTGGCCAGCACCACGAGTCAAGATAACATTTTGAATGCAATGACTCAAGGAAAACACATCAGCAAAACTGGCTCTGTCTCTTTTGACGGTAGCTGCTGAAAAATTCTAAATAAGGCCTGTGTTTTTCATGGACTTTTTAGTGGACACCACTGACCCGGAACAGGAATCTGTGCC